TAAACATGGCCACGGTGTAGCCAGCACCGGACCCAGAGCTCCAATCATTTTATACAACACATATTTTATACAACACATACTTCATTGGCTCACCAACTTGAATTAGCCCAAGCTAGCTCTGTCAAGTGTCAACTTCTAGAACGCACAACTCTTGCATTCTTGCACAACAAGCCTGTCTGTACCTGTACCTGTACCTGTACCTGTACTATACAACCCCACAAGGCCTCGATCGGCTACTCTCGGGTGTCGGTGTCGGACAATTGTTTCTGAACACCACCGTCATCCATTTCAATATCCTCACCGGGTCAGGGTCAGCCCATCTGCTCTCAGTCCCAGACACCCAGATAGAATAGTCTCTGACCGTTATCAACTTATCATATTCGTTTTGATCTCCAATTGTCAAATCGCCAAAATCACACAGGATCACAACCCCAGCTGCGTGAATTTGCGTTGCATGAAGATTCCATGCATCGATATGGATTAAACAACATGTTGGACTCTAAACTAGTAGTCAAACCACTAGTTTTTTCCTACCTGACATTCAGGATCAGTGACAGGTGCTCTGAATGTCTCCTGCTGCTCATCTACTGCAGGTAACTTTTGATCTGAATTTGGGTCGTTTGATCCTTTGAGGTCTCACCAGTTCGGTGCCATGTGTGAGGAGATATTCCCGTAATCTTGTCCTCCATTTTCAATGATTTGTGTTCAGTTACTCTTGCTTTTATAGTTCTATCTCTTCCTAAGACTATTAGTATAACAAACCTGACACCCTGCCTGCTTTTTTTTTTTTTTGAAAAGAGGAAAAAACAAGAACTGACGGATTCTATTTTCTGATGTGTGTATGGTCTCTCTGAAGGTTCCATCGATGTACACTAACTGATGGGTCGCACTTGTCTTCCAGAATCAGTACTGCTAAAACGAAGCTGGGATGATGGGAGCCCTGACGTCACAAGACGAAGCCATCACAAATCTCCTGATTAACTTATTCAACAATTCTGCATCGAGATCTCTCTGGGTGCAGGAGTAACGCGTATCGTTTCAGTGGGAGGAAGATAAACCGTACACTGCCTCTCAGGATTGCAAACATGCAGAAAGGTGTGGCCCTTTGCTCCTGAGCGCAAAACAGGTGAACTGGTGACAAGTGAAAAGCGATGGATGATGGATGGTCAGTCCTGAGCATAATGACCATGGGAACACACCTGTTTGTGCAACAACAGATGATGGCATTCTGAATTCCTGATAATACGTGTTGCCTGATCACTGAACAACTAATGGCTTTACTGCATCAACATGTTGGCCCAAAAACATTGGATTTATTGAACATGAACCGTTTATTGATCATGCATACCATATGGAAAGAGCTCCCATACCAGACAGCATGGGCCACACAAAGAGTCAAAGACCCATATGCAGCCTGAAAATGCGAAGACAGTACAGCAAGAGATAATGGCATCCAGGCAATAACCGCCTAATAAGTGTAGCCTGATTACTGAACAATTCCAACAATTCATCAGCCACAGTTCAGAAAATATCATAATAAACCAAGATGTAGGCTGAAAAGACAGGTGCTCTGAGTGTCTCCTGCTGCTCATCTTGTGCAGGTAACTTTTGATCTGAACTTAGGCCGTCTCAGGCCTCACCAGCTGGGTGCCATATGTAAGGAGATATTCCCATAATCTTGTCCTCCATTTTCAAGGATTTTGTGTTCAGATTCTCTTGCCTGTATAGTCTTCCTAATACTGTATTAGTATAACAAACCTGACACCCTGCCTGCATTTAAAAAAAAGGAAAAAACAAGAACTGACGGATTCCATTTTCTGATGTGTGTATGGCCACTCTGAAGGTTCCATCGATGCAGACTAACTGATGGGTCGCACTTGTTTTTCAGGATCAGTAGCAGTAACAGACATGTGCTCCTGATTGTCCCATCCTGCTCATGTTTTTTTTTTGGTATTGCTATTCCTTGATCTCCTTTGGGCAGGTTTAGGTCTCACTAGCTCAGTGCCATGTGCAAGAATCTTCAACGATATTCTCGCAACCCCATCCTATCCAGGGCTTGTACCGTCAAAATTCAAGGCCTTGTTCCAAACTCTAAAAGAGGCCCTACTGGCCTTAAAAAATAAAATGATATATGCATACATAGCAATGCGATAAATAAAAAATCATACCTATTTATTTTGTGATTGCATAATTTTTATTTGATCACAATATCATTCTCTTAGTGTTCTTTAAATTATTTAACAGAATTGAAATAAAGACTTGTTTTCACTTGTTGAGTAGTAATTTGTGATCCTCGCAAAAAGAGAGAGAGAGAGAGAGTAGTAATTTGTGTTTTTTATCGGATGTGAGTGTATGCACCATCGACCGTTTTGCGCAATACAACAGTTATGCGTCTACTTATAGCAACGAGTAATTATTCATTAACATAAAGAAATATTTGCATCGATAAATATAAGATAATACCTTCCACGAGTTCATGTCTTTACGAATCAGGAATTTACCTCTTGTGACCTACACCTGAGCGCTGGCCTCCAGACCTCCATCCGGCTTGCAACTTGCTTGATCACGGAGATGGAGAGACAGTGAAGCCAGGATGGGAGAGTAGGGGAGACGGATTGCTGTAGATGGATGCCGTGCGCCGGCTTGCTTGATCATGAAGACGGGAGACACGGGGAAGCCAGGATGAGAATACGGGAGAGCTAGGGAGACAGATCGACGTAGATCGATTCAGATAGCGCGATATAGGAAGAGACGCAGCATCAGGAGTAATCTGAAAGTCAGCAAGGCTTAATGCGCCATAATTTTGGGGCCTCTTGGAATTTGGGGCCCTGTACAAACGCACGGCTTGCACGCCCGCCGCCCTGATCGTATCCTGTATTTTCAATGGCTCTTGTCCAGCAGTTCAAGTGCACTCCTGCTCTGTCCGTATCCAACACAACACTAATATTGTATTTTATTCTGAACATACATGTTCGCTTGTCTGAATTCTGGAGGAATTTGGATGGTTTGGAGGAATGCTGGATAAATTTGTGAGAGAAAAACACTGTTCCGGATAAAAAAAATAAGCGGATCAAACCGGATTTAAGGGCACGCGAACGGGGCCATAGAAACACACCTGGATATCTAATACTGATATACTTTTATGTTACAACAAACCTGAACCCTGAGTACTTTGACGAACTCTAACTTGTGGGCATCTACATGTGCACAGTGACAGACCTAGGTTTTTACCTCTGGGTATGCGCAACAACAAAATTTCTTATGCAATTCGATAAACCCCAGCAAAAAAAAAATTACATTAAAATTTTTTACCTATCTCTATGACTGGCGGACCGCAGAGTATGCGGTGGCCCACCCTGCATACCCTGTGGGTCCGTCCCTGTGTGCACCCACCTAATAATAAACTGCTAAAATGAAGCTGGGATATATTAGCCTGTTTGCTTACTCGTATACGATCGTGGATTATAAGTTGGAACAATATTTTTCTCTCACACCAAACCAGCCAGCAGTAAATAATCCACGATCGTTTACGGCCTGCCGAACAGGCTAATAATGGGAGCCCTGACGTCACAAGATGAAGCCATCACAAATCTCCTGATTAGAGCTGGAATGTAAACCGCACGTCTTAGTCTCACTCAACAATTCAGCATCGATCTCTGTGGGTGCAGGAGTAACGCGTATCGTTTCAGTGTGAGGACTGAGGAAGACAAAACGTACACTGCCTCTCAGGATTGCAAACATGCCGAAAGGTGTGCCCTGTTTTTCCTGGGCTCAAAACAGGTGAACTGGTGACAAGTTAAAGCAATGGATGGTCAGTCCTAAGCATAATGATCATGAGAACACACTTGCTTGTACTTACAACAAAACATGATACCATCCTGATAAAATGATAATAGGTGTCGCCTGATCACTGAACAACTAATGGTTTTACTCATTTACTGCATCAACATGTTGGCCCAAAAACATTGGATTTATTGAACATGAACCATCTATTAATCATGCATTACCGTCTGGAAAGAGCTCCCATACAAGACAGCATGGGCCACATGAAACCACTACGTAGCCTGAAAATGCAAAAAACAGTACAGCAGGAGATAATGGCATCCTGGTAATAACAGCCTAATTGAACATGAACCATTTATTAATCATATGCATACCGTTTGGAAAGAGCTCCCATACAAGACAGCATGGGCCACACAAAACCCCATATGTAGCCTGAAAATGCAAAGACAGTACAGCAAGAGATAATGGCATCAGCAAGAGATAATATGGCATCCTGGTAATAACAGCCTAATATGTGTAGTCTGATTACTGAACAATTCCAACAATTCAACATCAGCCACAGTTCAGCAAAAATATCCTAATGATTTCGTCACTGCGACAAACCAATATGTATGCTGAAAAGAAGACTCAATTCATTGAACACGAATCATGTATATGAATAAAAACACATGCCATATACATCTGGAAAGAGCTTTCATGTGCAATAAAGTAGACAAACAAAACCCAGGCTTCATCACTTCATAATAACCATGCTAAAGTCTGAAACAGAGCAGTAAGCACCGGAAACAGAGGGGCAAGTGTCAATTACAGCCTGATCAACTGACTGGATTGATCACAGGGCACACGCACAGCAGATGCTACGGAGAACATTATCCAGACCAGGACCTAGAGCTAGATCATATTTAGCACTATGCAACAACATGGCTGAGTGATAAGCATCTAATTCACATTACATCAAATGACAGATTTCGGAATGCCTTCTGCCTTCTGATCCTCCACAGCTTGTGTCACCCATGTTCCTCACAAACTGAATCTACCCTTGGAAAGAACAGGTACATGTTCTCTCACTAGAGCACTAGGCATACTGCATACCTTGAGTCCAAGTAACCCACTGAACCATGGCTATTAACTGGGCCATACAGAACACACTTGTCACTAGACATATCTAGATGACATACCTAAACCTAAATTTGTAGACAAGTGAGTCAAAAGAACAGCTAAAAGTAAGAGGGAGCATCATTTGCCACCCATGTTGAGATGGCATAGAGGATGCGGCCTTTCCATCCCTGCAAGAGCCAGTGGTGATCAACATCGATCACAAAGTCCTTGTGGTACAAATCCTTGACCTTGTTCCGCACTATCTGCACGACTTCAGGGTTCAACGGCTGCTGCTTCAAGCCTGCTCGTTGATTCCGCACCTGCCATTGCTTGTACGTCTCAGGGCGCTCCACCCGATCTGTACCCTCACACGCAATGACGTTCAGGGCAGCCCTCCCGAAGAGGTTTTCCTCAATCAGCATCCTCTGGTTGCTGTCTCTTGGGGTGGTCGCGTCCAGAGCATCAAACAGGGCCGAGTAAAAGAACAGAGCCTCCCGGAACCTCGTCACAAAGAACGGCGCACTGAAGGAGCCATTCACAATTGCATGTATGAATGTATGAGGCCGCATCTTTCTGATGTTATTGAGCACAATGTCCCTTGGGCTTTCAATCACAACACTCTCATCCATCAAGTTCTTAAACTGGTATAGGCAGTTCACGATGAGCACTTCCTCTGGATCGAAGTTCAGATCCTCCGCTCGGATGGACTCCATCTTGGATGCTGCAATCGCCTGGTACTTGAATGGCACACCAAACTGCTGGGCATACTTGCTGAGCCGGCGCCCTGTCTCCTCGATGCGCTGAGTAGGGCGGAACCCAGGCTGGGGCAGGTCAATGCCAGTAATCCTCACCTCTGGTGGCCCACCCTCCCTATCCGCTATCCATCGCAGGAAGCACGGCCACTGGAAGCCATAATTGATCCCATACTCAACGATATGTATCTTCTTCTTGCCCAGCGCGGCATTGTAGATGGTGTAATTCGAGAACCAGAAGACGACTTTCTTGAAGCAGATGGCGGCCATGTACAGCTGGTACGCCTGGAGTATGTCGGCGACGGACGTGCGCTTGGCCATGAGCGACTGGTACACCATGCTGCCGGTGCCGGCGAGGCGCGCCTGGAGGCCCTCAGCGAAGCAGTGGGCGAGGCGCTGCGTGGCGTCCCCCTGCGGGCTGGCGTGCTGCTTGATCTGCCTGAGCAGCTCGGTGGCGCTGCGGCGGTCGTCGGAGGCGACGGCCTGCGCGCAGTGGACGAGCAGCGTGCGCAGGTCCACCACATCCCTCCCGCCGCGTCGGCCCTTGGCCTTGCCGTTCCCGGCGGCGGCGGCCGCCGCCTCCTGCATGGCGATCCGCAGATTCTGCATCTGCTCCGTGCACTTCTCGGGGTCAGTGATGATGTACTTCTCGAAGACGTCTCGCTCGTCGCCGTCCCCCTGCAGCGCGCTCTGCTTGCTGCTCCGGCGCTGCAGCTCCAGGTCCTCGTCGCCGTCGTCGTCGAAGCGGTTCCTCCGACCGCGGCCCCCGACGGCGCCGCCGCCGCTGCCAGGCGCCGCGAAGACCACCTCCTCCTCCTTGACGGCCACGGCCACGGCCGCAGGGACAATGGTGGCGGCGTTGAATCCGGGCGCGAGCTTGTCCGCGGCGGGGGCGGGGGTGGGGAGGACGAACCGCTTGGGGTCGTCGGGCGGATCGAGGTCGATGACGAGCTTGTCCTGCGTGGGCAGGAACTTGTTGGCCTCCTCCATGCCCTTGAGGAAAGCGGAGCTCATGAGGTCGGAGTTGGCCCCGTTGCTGAAGAAGGCCGCGGGGTCGAGGTCGAAGCCGTCGAACTGGGCGACGGGGGCCGGGGCGTAGGAATTGACCGCGGCGGGGGTGAGAGGCGCGCTGGCGGGTCCGTCGGAGGAGGAGGAGTGGTGGTTGACGCTGGCGCTGGCGCTGCTATTGGTGGTGGTGGTGGTGGTGGTGGCGGTGGTCGGGGAGGAGGCGTCGTCGGAGAGGACGTCGAGGAAGGACTGCTGCGCCTGGAGGAGCACGGGGTTGTCCGGGTAGTCGTAGAAGAAGGTGTCGTCGATGTCGTCCTCCATGAGCATGCTGGAGATGTAGGGGAGCAGCATGTCCTGCGGGGGGGCTATGTTCCCCTGCTGCTGCTGGGGCTGCGGGGTGGGCGGGAGGTCGAGGTAATCGGAGGGCGAGGAGGGGTCGAGGTAGGCGGAGGGCGAGGTGGGGCCGAGGTCGGAGAGGTAGAGGAGGAGGTCGTCGGCGCCCGGGGACGGGGAGGGGTCGTAGGAGGAGCACATGGCGGCGGCGGCGGAGTTGCGGAAGTGGATGAGGACGAGGAGGGTTTAGCGGCTGGCTGGCTGGCTTTGTAGGGACGCGGCTGGGCGGGGCGGGGAGCGACGAAGGTTCCAGGAAGGCGGCGGCGGCGGAAATGGGATGGATTTGGGGAGATGGTGGGGGGAGCGGAACTGAGGAAGGAGATGGGGAGAGAGGGGATCGGGAACTGCGTGGCGTGGCACTGACTGGTGGGCCCGAGCTCGGTGCGGGCGGCGACCGGGCTCCCGATCGGTTTCCCTTTTTCTCTTCCGCCGTGGCAGAGAGGCTGCCGACAAGGTCACGAGCATGCAAGGGCGACCCAAGCCCAGGCCTAAGAGTGTACTGTAGAGGACAGAGAGATCCAGGAAGGCGTTGGAACTTGGAAGCGGTCCGAAGGAGAGGCCGCGGCATGGCAACGGCATCATCAGCAGCATGGATGAACCTCGACGACCGTGCACGCAGCCGTTGAGGAACGGTATAATGGCAGGGTAACGTGTCCGCAATGCGAACAGGCTTGCTACCGTCCGGACGTCCGGACAGACAGGGTGTCCAGACGCTCGCACCTGCATTTTGTTTCCCGCTTTGTTTCGTGCGTCTATGCGGGGTCTACACCACCCTGAACGACACCAGCATCGAGAAAGAGGGGGAAAGGGCGGCGGATGCCTAACTGACGCTAGGATGAGGAGGAGAAACCGAGGTGAGACAGCAAAAAGTGAGGAGGAAGATGCAACATCCGATCTACTTTTAAAGCATCTAGACGCAACACTTGCAGCATACGTCTAAAGAAAGATGAAACACTTAAAATATGCATTTGATACACTTGCAAAAACACCTGAAAACTATTGTAAAACATACGCAACATCCAGATAAAACGCTTGCAACATATGTGTGAAACATATTCATCATCCAAATATAGACACTTGCAACGTATATATGAAAAACAGATGAAACATTAGGAAACAGAAGCTTGCAACATACGTGTACAATCATTGCAACATCCCGATCACTTTGGCAACATCCATATGAAACACTTGTAACGTACCTATGAAACATCTGAAACACTTGGAACATAGGCTTGCAACATGCGTCTTTCACCCTTCCTCCATACATCGCAGCGCTGAGCGGGGGACAGCCGGTTCCCGACAGCCAGCAGCCGAGGATGGTGGCGCGGCCTGGCAGCGGCCAGTTGCGCCTACGCATGGTCTAGGCCTGGCCAGCGACGGCCCCCTCTCCTGGCCGCGGTGAAGGACGGAGCACCCGGCATGGCGCGCGGGGGACGGAGGCGGCACTGTAGTAGTCGAGCACGTGCATGGACCTTGGCGGCGGAGGGCTAGGTGCCGGCGACCGGGTCCAGCGGCTCTACAGTCGATGGGGCGGCTGGCAGTGTACCTCGCGTGGAGGATTCCTCCTCTCCGCGGGGGATAGAGGTGCCGCGGGATGGGGGCGCCGCGGGGGATGGCGGCGGTAGCGCGCTAGAGTAGGCGGTGGCGCGGCGGATTGGCACGGTCGGATGGCCGCACTGCGCCATGAAGCCAGGACGGACAAGCGCGGAGTGGGGAGGGATGAGTTTCCGTGGTGAGATTTGATTTTTTTTTTCTCGGATCCAGACGGACGGATGACTGTGGCAAGTATTACCGATGCAAGAAACAAGCTGACCGTCGGCGGCGGCGCCTTTTGCATCGCCATTGCCCGCCGCCAGCATTACGCCGCAGTTCCTCCAGTGCCACCGCACTGTATTGCATGGATCGGACGAGGACGACCTAGCTAGCACTGGACGTCGCTGGACCTGTGGTCTTGTGCTGAGTGCTCTGTCTCTGTCTGCTACAGTAGGCACGTGACTCGATATGGAGTGTTATACGTTACACGTGAATGTGTTTATCGATCGATATTTGTATTATTCCGTTTCAACGTACGTATGAGACACGCAATTCGGAGTCCTTCCATCGAATCCGTTTAATTCCATTATCCATTCAGCCCGATTTTTTAGCTTTTTGGATACTTGGAAATTGGAATTTTCGGGACACAAACACAACCCCAACCAAGCATGGAAAGTCGTCATTTGTTGGAGTCAAATAAGTTTCATTAAGTGGACTATCTCTTTTTCTAAGGTGATCTAGATATGTGTACAAGTAGTTCAAATTTTTGGGTTATTAGGTCGGGTCCGATTTTACCGTCTAGACAACACCTTCTCTTTAACTTCATTTAACTCTAGTGTTTTTTCTCCTTTTTTTGCATAAATCAAATACAAATGCAAATGCTCACATACACACACAACCACTCACTCCTATAATGCACGTGCGCACGCATAACCAATTCTTATGAAAAACCTCGAGATACTGAGCTTCGAGATCGATAAAATCACCATACGTATCTTGTTATCGATAGCCACATCGCCTACCCACTAAAAGAATAATATAGTTAAATGCAAGAATAATAAATCTAAAAAACTAGGGGCATCCGTGTTTAGTGGAGGACTTCAACCTAGTGGTCATAGTTCAACGTAAGGAACATAACAACTGAGCTACAATCAGTTCACACTCGGCTTAATTTTTGCTTTTGCGTAGGCCACACTATATAAAAGAAATCACATATATATGTGTATGACATTTTTGTTTATTTAAGTGAGAATATTTTTTCTTTGTTCAATGCAACATTTTTTTCTTTTATTTAGGAAGCCATACGAGTGATCTCTTGACATAAGCAAAACATAAATAAACAAAGGGTGAAACAAATCAAAGGAGCACATGCACACATCACCGGATCGTATAAACAGTGGCCAACATACAAGTATACTGAGTGTTTGGCAGGACTAAAAAATAAGCCAAAATACTATTTCGACTGATTATTATAAGATAAAAATAGTGTTCTGTCTGAAAACACTGTTTATGTGAACAGTATTCGTATGAGTGCGCACCCTAGCCCCAGTCCAGCCGTCCAGCCAGCCGAACGCAGCCATAGACAAGATAATCCAAGATGTCATGTCACGAAATAATTGAACTAGAAAGTAGTACTCCTATCTCTCTAGTAGAGATTAAAAGTTGATCGAAAAGCATTTTTCCTTCACTGTTCCACGTGGCTATTGGCGTGTCCATTTCACGGCCTAGAAGACGCAGGCCACGTTTAGATTGCAAAAAATTTCAACTCGATGAATAATAGCACTTTCGTCTTATTTGGTAAATATTGTTCAATCGTGGACTAACTAAGTTCAAAAGATTCATCTCGTGATTTCCAACTAAACTGTGTAATTAGTTATTTTTTTTACCTACATTTAATACTCTATGCAAACGGCTAAAAATTGATGTGCCGGAGAGAAAGTGAAAAAACTTGAATTTTGAGGGTATCTAAACAAGCCGCAGTGCTTCCAAATGACACGGTAGGATCGAGAGGTACTACGTGCACCTTTTCCCAAGAAAAAAGGGTCATACTGATGGCAACTCTTGTGTCCGTGGCCAAACCTTCGGGTGCAAACATTTTTTATTTCTATTTTTTATTCAAAATGGGCGCTGCAAACTTTAGGCACCGAGTGCCGACACGAGAGGCGGCTGCTACGGCCACGTAAAATATCAGAGACTATATAAAAGATCCTTGTGATTGCGAGGTCACACCAAAGAAATTAAATCCACATGATAGATTAGCTTTGCTCACTTGTAGATAATCCACAGCTAGCTAGCTAGCCATGCCCAACTTCCGTCAGCACCATAATAAAGGTCACCGGCCGATTACCACGCTCCACGCGCTAAAGGCGCCGAACCCTCCTGTGTAGCCTCCTTGGAACGCTGAGATTTCACAGAATTCATACAAAACTTTGTAAGAATAAAAAAAACTCGACCCGCGGGATATGACGGCCCCCCGGCCATTGTGTTTAAGAAGATCTTCTCGACCTTTTTACAACGCAGAAACATGTGCATGCGGAGGTGGAGAGTCGAACTCCCGACCTAGAGCTTCCCACAACCGGGAGCTACCAATCAAGCTATCAGCTCGTCCACAAACTTTGTAAGAATTAGTTTAGCTAGTTTTACAGAAAAAACATAGGATTCAGGAAAAAAATCCTGCAATCCAAAGGGCCCTGAATTTGTAGCTAAATACGAGTTTTTTTTGTGTTTATAAGTCCAATCGATGCCCTCAACTATACGTGTTGTTTAGGTTCCCGGTGTGAGTATAGGGTAAGTGTTTCATAGAAATTTTATAGAAATGTAGGAATTCTGTTTCCTTGCTTTTCTATGAAAATGAACTAATTTCTATAAAATTCTTGTCGACCAAGAGGCCTTAGTGTCGTGGCAAAATTTCTCGAGTGATTTAAAATGGCCGTACCACACAACAAAACGTGGCAACAAAACATTGGGGGGGGGGGGATTGGAGTGATTAGCCAGGTGGTCCATGACGAAAAAAGAAGAAAGAAAACCATTCACTTGGAAGACTCGACAAGGAGGTTGGTTGCTCGAAGCCTGCTCACTCAACAAATGTTTGTACTGTGTAGCGGTGCTCCTCCGAATGAAAGGGACTGCCGCGGATGGATCAAGCTTAACCACTCTTGGCTATTTTTTTTTACCCAAAATCTTGCCTAACAAGACTTGAACTACTATATACTAGTAACAGCGAGCAATTAATGTCATCGTTAACACTTATACAAACATTGTTACGTTCGTTTAAACTTATCAGTCATGATACAATGTTTTTCTCTCACAACAAATCAGCTTCAATCGACTTATCAGCCACAGAAATCATCAGCCGAACAGCTTCTAATTAGTCCACTGTCTAACCTCTATATGTTATTGTGGCCACCCTAGATAGATACCTATTTTTTGTTTTTTACTACCGTGGGTAACAAGCAAGGTAGCATGTAGTAGTAGGCCAAAAGAAACAATAAGCTCGGTTTACTTATATTTTCATGTGATGACGTGGTGTGTTGTGCCACCGTCCATGACTCTGGCCTTATCTAAGCAGTTGTTTATGCTCATGGCAACCACGAGATTGATAGATCGCC